AGAGGATGACCAACACAAACTGTGCAGCAGCAGATGAGCTATCGTCTCTGACTTTACATCTACAAGGTGGACTGACAAGGTAGGAGTGTCTAATAGAGTGGACAGTGAGTGGACACAGTGTTTAAAAATCTCTAGAGTTTAAAAAACCTGGAAGACATTACAGAGTGGCGGTTCTGCTCTCTACAAGCTCTCTGGTTGTAATAGCAGTAGATCCATCTCTGATTTGTCCTGTAGCGCCCCCTTTAAGCCACCACAGTAACATAACGTCACGCAGTGAGTTTGTACAGAAGGACCGAGCGTTTGAAATGCGTTGATCAAACGTTGTCATTTGCGTTTGTGTACTTACGTTGGGTGTGTTTCTGGTCTAAAGGACGCATCATACCAACCTGGGCATGCAGGGCACTGGTTACCATGGCAATAACAGCATGCTGAGTGCAGTGAGGAACACAGTAATAACTGAGTGATGAGGAATATGGTCACACACAGTGTTCGGACATGCAGGCTGTTTGACAGAGGTGCGCGCAGAGGTGTAGCACCCAAATTTGGGTCCCTGGCACAGTAGTGTGCCAAAGCTCCCTCCCAAAAAATCAAGAACAGAATAAAATGTGATAATTATGTTGTATTTCTTTATGAGCAAAACAGCTGATAAACAATAAGGTAAGCTGTGCTTGACTTAAACTTAATCTCTGTTCAAGACAATCAATGTAATTAGAGGGAAATTCAAAAGAGAAAAAGTATATTTAAGTATATTTACTCTCATTTTCACCTAAAACCCCACCTAACAGTGTGTCTTACAGGTGAGCTGCTGGGCTGAGGCTGATGATCACATCTTCTTTATCAGCTTGTTGTTACTAGCTATTCAAGCTAACTTACCTTATGACAACATCCTTACAGTTTGGCACTTTAGGCTCACCTGTTTTGCAAAATCACTACTCAGAACAGTTCTGAAGGCAGCGCAACCCCAAGGCAGAACGAACGTAATTGGCTCAGGGAATAACCAATTAAAATAACCAATAGGCGGGGCTTATCTTCAGAAATGTATCTCTGTTCCTCAGTGCTGCTAATGTGGATGCAGCGCATTGAAAGGTGTGGAATTCCATCTCTGGTGTTGGCTGGAAAAATAGCAGCTTCTAAAGCAGCGTCTTCTTTGACCCTGTGCTCCAGCTTATATCAGTGTATTTGAGACAAACTAGTAATAAAAGTAATAGTAATAATGTGCTTTCAGCGTGACGTGAATTATGAACACATGGGTCTATATATTTGACAAACCTTATAGTACAGGGTGATTCAAAAAGATTCATCTGATTTTAAAATTATTCATTTCACTTGTAAATCATTACAGATCAATGCAGTGAACTGTAAATGGTTTAAATGAGCATAAAGTTTATTATGTAATTGTAGAAGGTCTCAGTTTGAACCTCCTCCAGCTGTACAGACAACATCAACACCATAGTCAAACTCATCCCATACTGGATTGAGCATGTCGGGTGTCGCTGCACTCACGGCTCTTTCAGTGCGATTTCGGAGATCATCCAGTGTTGTGGAACCAACGCCGAACGCTCTGAGCTGTTGGAGCTTCACTGCCCACGAAAATCACACTGCACAGTTATGACGGATTCACTCTTATTGAAGTGGAGAACGCAGAACGCTTTCTGCTCAGGGGTCTCATCTCCTCTCAGACTGAAGGGAGCCATCTTCCACTGACAGTCAGAAACTCTATGACCCCCTCTTTCAATTGGATTCTGATTGGTTCCTCGGCGCCTCGCAATTGTAAAAATATGGCGCTTTGAAATCGGATGAATCTTTTTGAATCACCCTGTATATCTCTCATTTCAACTTGCTCTGTTTAACCAATCACATTCATCCCCACCTGTTGGCTGGTAACCAATTACATTCATTCTACCTCGAAGGCAGCGCTGCCTTTGAACCGTCAAGAGACTCGTCAGCAGCTGCCTCCCCTCTTTCAGCTTTCTCTCTCGCTCTCTGCTCTCCTTCAGCTCCTGAAATGCTGATTCTGGTTTCATTTTGGTTTCAGAATCGGAGAAAGTCTCTGACTGTGGGTGAAGCAGCTAAACATGGATCTTTCCCTGAATTTGTATTTGAGCATCCATTTTCCCCAAACGGACAGCGTGGGGAGTTGATCTTCAGGGACCCCCAGAATTTTGATTTTGAGGCATTCAGGGAGTCCAAGAGGCAAATTAGACCCCCTTAGACTGCTGCTGAGTGCTGATTGGTTAGCATTACTGCTACCGAGTGCTAATTGGTTAACATTACTGCTACTGAATGCTGATTGGTTAGCATTACTGCTACTGAGTTCTAATTGGTTAGCATTATTGCTACCGAGTGCTAATTGGTTAACATTACTGCTACCGAATGCTGATTGGTTAGCCTTACTGCTACTTAGCGCTGATTGGTTAGCATTACTGCTACCGAGTGCTAATTGGTTTACATTACTGCTACTGAATGCTGATTGGTTAGCATTACTGCTACTGAGTTCTAATTGGTTAGCATTATTGCTACTGAGCGCTGATTGGTGAGAAATACTGCTACTGAGTGGTGATTGGTTAGCATTACTGCTACACTGCACTGATTAATTAGTCTTACTGCTACTGAGTCCTGATTGGTTGGTATTACTGCTAATGAGTGTTAATTGGTTAGCATTACTGCTAACGAATGTTGATTGGTTAGCATTACTGCTACTAAGTGCTGATTGGTTAGCATTACTACTACTGAGTGCTGATTGGTTAGCATTACTGCTGCTAACTGGTTAGCATTATTGCTACTGACTGCTTAACTGGTTAGCATTACTATTACTGAGCACCGATTGGTTAGCATTACTGCTAATGAATGTTGATTGGTTAGTATTACTGCTACTGAGTGCTGACTGGTTAGCATTGCTGCTATTAAGGGCTGATTGGTCAGCATTACTGCTACTGAGGACTGATTAGTTAGCATTACTGCTACTGAGTGCTGATTGGTTAGCATTACTGCTAATGAATGTTGATTGGTTAGCATTACGGCTACTGGATGTTCATTGTTAGCATCAATGCTATTGATTGCTGATTGGTTAGCATTATTGCTACTGAGTGCTGATTGGTTAGCATTACTGCTGCTGAGTGGTGATTGGTTGGCATTACTGCTACTGAGTGCTGATTGGTTAGCATTACTGCTAATGAATGTTGATTGTTAGCATTACGGCTACTGGATGTTGATTGTTAGCATCAATGCTATTGATTGCTGATTGGTTAGCATTACTGCTGCTGAGTGCTAATTGGTTAACATTACTGCTACTGAATGCTGATTGGTTGGCATTACTGCTACTGAGTTCTAATTGGTTAGCATTATTGCTACCGAGTGTTAATTGGTTAACATTACTGCTACTGAATGCTGATTGGTTAGCCTTACTGCTACTGAGTTCTAATTGGTTAGCATTACTGCTACCAAGTGCTAATTGGTTAACATTACTGCTACTGAATGCTGATTGGTTAGCATTACTGCTACTGAGCGCTGATTGGTTAGAATTACTGCTACTGAGCGCTGATTGGTGAGAAATACTGCTACTGAGTGGTGATTGGTTAGCATTACTGCTACACTGCACTGATTGATTAGTCTTACTGCTACTGAGTCCTGATTGGTTGGTATTACTGCTAATGAGTGTTGATTGGTTAGCATTACTGCTACTGAGTGCTGATTGGTTAGCAACACTGCTACTGAGTGGTGATTGGTTAGCATTACTGCTACTGAGTGGTGATTAGTTAGCATTACTGCTACTGACTGCTAACTGGTTAGCATTATTGCTACTGACTGCTAACTCATTAGCATTACTGCTACTGAGTGCTGATTGATTAGCATTACTGCTACTGAGCACTGATCGGTTAGCATTACTGCTACTGAGTGCTGATTGGTTAGCATTACTGCTACTCTGCACTGATTGGTTGGTCTTAGTGCTACTGAGTCCTGATTGGTTGGTATTACTGCTAATGAGTGTTGATTGGTTAGCATTACTGCTAACGAATGTTGATTGGTTAGCATTACTGCTACTAAGTGCTGATTGGTTAGCATTACTGCTACTGAGTGGTGATTGGTTAGCATTACTGCTGCTAACTGGTTAGCATTATTGCTACTGACTGCTTAACTGGTTAGCATTACTGTTACTGAGCACCGATTGGTTAGCATTACTGCTAATAAATGTTGATTGGTTAGCATTACTGCTACTGAGTGCTGACTGGTTAGCATTGCTGCTATTAAGGGCTGATTGCTTAGCATTACTGCTACTCTGTGCTGATTGGTTAGTCTTACTGCTACTGGGTCCTGATTGGTCAGCATTACTGCTACTGAGGACTGATTGGTTAGCATTACTGCTACTGAGAGCTGATTGATTAGCATTACTGCTAATGAATGTTGATTGGTTAGCATTACGGCTACTGGATGTTAATTGTTAGCATCAATGCTATTGATTGCTGATTGGTTAGCATTATTGCTACTGAGTGCTGTTTGGTTAGCATTACTGCTGCTGAGCGCTGATTGGTTAGCATTACTGCTACTGAGTGCTGATTGGTTAGCATTACTGCTAATGAATGTTGATTGGTTAGCATTACGGCTACTGGATGTTGATTGTTAGCATCAATGCTATTGATTGCTGATTGGTTAGCATTACTGCTGCTGAGTGCTGATTGGTTAGCATTACTGCTAATGAATGTTGATTGGTTAGCATTACTGCTACTGGATGTTGATTGTTAGCATCAATGCTATTGATTGCTGATTGGTTAGCATTACTGCTACTGAGTGGTGATTGGTTGGCATTACTGCTACCAAGTGCTGATTGGTTAGCATTACTTCTACTGAGTGTGACTGGTTAGCATTACTGCTACTGTGTGCTGGTTCTATCTAGAACAATTTTCTTTACTAAAGAACCTTTACTAAAGAACTCTTGAAGATCCATCATTTTTAAAGACTGTATTTAAAGCACTGTCAGAACGTGAACAGTGTGCAGGCTGTTTTTATGGTACCGTCTGAATCACAGAGAACCGTGTGGCATTCGTGGACCGGAGTCTGCGAGGGAGCTTTTTTTCTGAGAGCAAAATAAGAGTCTCTGGTTCGCATTTCAGGCCGGCGTAGCACTGACAGGTGAAGGCCGCGGTGAACGCCTGCAGGTCCGTGAGCGAAGGCTTCCCCAGGGCCTCGTACCGTCCGGCTGGGCCGCGGCGGATGCTGAAGCTGCCGGCGCTCAGGTGTAAGTAGTGGTCTGAGTTATAGTTCTTCCTCACGCAGCGGCCCTTCCCCTGGCACAGGAAGTTACTGCAGAGCCTGGCGGCGGTGGTGAGGTTGGTGATGTAGGGGTTGATGGTGCTGTCCAGGTGGGCCGAGAAGGCTTCACACGAGGCCTGGTGAGCGGGTGTGTTTGTGAGAGAGAGAAAGACTTTAGCTGCAGTTTTGTACTTTTGCACATTGTGAAATTTCAAACTTAACGTCAGGCTGTCTCAGAGTTTCCGGTCTTGTTGTCGTGAGGCGCTCAGACTAGACGACGAGGCAAAGAGAGAGAATAACACACACAACGAGTTTGAATGAATGAACCTTTTTAGCCAACTGTGTCTGAACACATCGGAATTAGACCTCCGCATTCAACCCATCCGTGCAGTGAAACACCACATACACACTAGTGAACACACACACTAGGGGGCAGTGAGCACACTTGCCCGGAGCGGTGGGCAGCCCTATCCACAGCGCCCGGGGAGCAGTTGGGGGTTGGGTGCCTTGCTCAAGGGCACTTTAGTCACATACTGTCAGCTCAGGGGATCTAACCGGTGACCTTCTGGTCACAAGGCTGGTTCCCTAACCTCCAGCCCACATAAGAACTCAAACTTCCAGATCTCCTCAGATCACACGACACGAACAGAGCAGGGAAACACACTGGTGGTGTCGATATTAAGCCAGCCCAGTTTGTTAAGAACCTTGGCTTTCTTCTTGATTCATCTCTCACGTTTGAGTCTCACGTTAAGCTCGTCACCAAAACTGCACTTTATCATCTGCGCAACGTTGCACGCTTAAACCCTATGCTGAGTGACACTGTCGCTAAAATGTTGATCGATGCCTTCATCTTCTCTCGCACGATTACTGTAACTCACTTTTCTATGGCTTTCTGCCAAACTAATCAATCATCTTCAGTACATCCAAAACTCAGCAGTCAGGGTTTTCATCTCCACCAAGCGCTCAGCTCATATTCCTCCTGCTCTTCGACAGTTGCATTGGCTTCCTATCAGTTCTAGGATTAAGTACAAAATCCTTCTTCTTACCTTCAGAGCTACATTCCTGTCTGATCTCATTTCATTGTGTTGTCCCTCTCGTGCTCTCCGATCCTCTAATTCTGGACTCCTCACAGTTCCCTCAACTAGACTTTCTACTATTCTTAGTCTTAGACTTTCCTTTTTAGTCCTCTTTAGTCTTCTAGATTTTTTTTTTTAAGACACAGTGTAAAGCGTCCTTGGGTTTGTGAAAGGTGCTATATAAGTTGAGCTTATTATTATTATTATTATTATTATTATTATTTCCAGGCATTAGAAATAATACGCCCTGTAATAATGAAAAATGACTCACCAGTGACGGTCACTACTCAACAAGACAAGATGCTCGATGAACTGGGCAAATCTGTCAAAAACTTTTCTCTCAAAGTCCACAGATCCGTGAATGAATTCAAGTGATAGCCTAGCAAGGGCAGGCAAGGAGAGCAGAAGAGTGTTTTTAGCTACACTCACAGTTAGCCATGTTTTTCTCTTGAACCTCTCTGGACTGAAGGAGCAGTTTTTGTCCTTTGCGGACCGAATGATGTTGAAATCCTCTGGCTGGTGTGTCCCAAACGTTTAATCTCTTGTTTCTGCTCTGATGTCAGGGCACCATTTATTACATTTTCGACTCGACTCATTATATTGCCTTGTTATTTTGATTAGCTACCACAACTGATAAGGAACTATTTCTGCGTAGCAACGCCCACACCGTAAACGCCGTTACTGAACATCTGGATGTATGTAAATTTATTATGTTTCATTGGCTGCTCTCAGCAATGTGATCATCCCCACAGCTGGTTGTTGACAGTGTGTTGAATATGCGCAGAGTGTTTTTCAACTGCTCGCTTGGTTAGACGAGTGCTGACGAGCCCCACGCTCACCAAACCAAGGCTGCACTTGCTGTGAGCTTGTCAGCTGCTTCTAAACGGTGCTGCACTGTAGGAAACAAGATGCTGATTAAAGTGAGGCTGGATTTTGTGATTCACACAAACAGCTCAGTGACTGAAAAAAATGACTTACGTGCCCTGAAAACACTATTTGGCTCAGATCTCTTAAAAACACTGACCAATCGCTTTGAATTTGGGGGGAGGCCACAGCTAGGATATGTGGTGATGTGGCCAGAAGCTCATGCTGCTTGACCATCTATAACAACATACACCGATCAGGCATAACATTCTGACCACCTCCTCGTTTCTACGCTCATTGTCCATTTTATCAGCTCCACTTACTCTATAGGTGCACTTTGTAGTTCTACAGTTACAGACTGTAGTCCATCTGCTTCTCTGATACTTTGTTAGCCCCCTTTTACCCTGTTCTTCAGTGGTCAGGACCCCCATGGACCCTCACAGAGCAGGTACTATTTGGGTGGTGGATCATTCTCAGCTCTGCAGTAACACTGATGTGGTGGTGGTGTGTTAGTGTGTGTTGTGCTGGTCTGAGTGGATCAGACACAGCAGTGCTGCTGGAGTTTTTAAACACTGTGTCCACTCACTGTCCACTCTATTAGACACTCCTACCTTGTCAGTCCACCTTGTAGGTGTAAAGTCAGAGGTCATCCTCTAGTCCTTCATCAGTGGTTCCCTCAAAGCTCCAACAGTGGTTTTAAGGTCTGATTGTGAACCTTAAATAAGTGTTTCCAGGTGAAAAGTTCGTATTTGTACCTTTTCATAACCGAATGTTTTAAACAGAACAGTAAAATAAAAGCCTGGAGACGAGACGGGGTGTGTGGAGTCAGTACAGCTTAGAACATATCATTTCAGTGGATTATGGTTCAGTTATGTTCCCTGACTAAAGGTACTGAGATGGACCCTTGAGGGTTCCACCCCAGTGACGAGGGGGGAACTGCCCCAGAGACAGTTTAGCACCTTTATTTTTGAGAGTGTGTACTGAACTCTCCTTATTCAACTATGCCAATGTAAACACAGTTTTCCATTTTATGGCACCTTTAAGGCGAGACACTTCAGGTGAACTGGGTCATTTTTTTTAAATAGAGATCACAATGAATCTTTGCCAGTGGACGACTGACAGTTTGGCTTTGTTCACACAGCAGGTAAAAGTGGCCCAGATCCGATCTTTTTCTTCATGTGTGACACAGATGTGTGTCTGTGTGAACAGATAAACACACTGAATCTGACATTTTCAATTCCGATTTGAGACGCTTTCAAATGGGGTAATGAAATCCGAAACGAATCCGATATGCGGCAATGTAACTCAGTCTAAACAGCCAGATCAGAATTCATGTTACTTTTACATCAACCCAACTGGGAATTCATCATAGTTTCACGCTGCTGAGACTCATAAACATTTGGGCTGATGTTTCTGTACAAAAAATTAGAAGGCACTTATCACAACCGCTCTGAACGTTAAAATTTAAAAGTCTGAAAGCAAAGAATCCGAGGACGCGAACCAAAGAAGTGACCGCGCCCTTTTCACAGCTTGAACACATTCTGGGTGATGAGCCCAGCTGTCAGTCAGTGAAGCTTCATGTCGGCTCCTGTGATGCTGGTGAAGACGAAGCTGATCCTCCGGGAGCGACTGGCGTTCGTTGGCGGTCGTGATTGTTTACCTCTGTTCTTTAGAGCATGTGGGTCAGTTTAGGAGCTGATCTGTTCAGATTGATGTCGCATACAGATCACATTTAAAAGATAATCTGAACAGCCAAACAAAAAAATCAGATTTGGGCCACTTTTACCTGCTGTGTGAACATAGCCTTGTATTGTATTGGAAGTTTGCAAAAAATACATTTAGATATGCAAATGCGTTGTCTACTACATTTCTACTTAAATATGCATAAAGTTGCATATTTAAAAAATACAGGGTGATTCAAAAAGATTCATCCGATTTCAAAGCGCCATGTTCTTACAACCATGAGGCGCTGAGGAACCAATCACAATCCAATTGAAAGAGGGGGTCATAGAGTTTCTGACTGGCTCCCTTCAGTCTGAGAGGAGCTGAGACCCCTGAGCAGAAAGCGTTCTGCGTTCTCCACTTCAATAAGAGTGAATCCGTCATAACTGTGCAGTGTGATTTTCGTGGGCAGTGAAGCTCCAACAGCTCAGAGCGTTCGTCGTTGGTTCCACAACACTGGATGATCTCCGAAATCGCACTGAAAGAGCTGTGAGTGCAGCGACACCCGACACGCTCAATCCAGTATGGGATGAGTTTGACTATGGTGTTGATGTTGTCTGGACAGCTGGAGGAGGTTCAAACTGAGACCTTGTACAGTTACATAATAAACTTTATGCTCATTTAAACCATTTACAGTTCACTGCATTGATCTGGAATCATTTTGAAATCGGATGAATCTTTTTGAATCACCCTGTATATAGTCTATGGATGATGTAAGAAAGAAATGTTTGTTTCATCTCCTGAAGATAAACTCCAGAAAAAAACAGATTATTTTTATCTCATTGTTTTATTATAGTTTAATCAAGAAAACAAAAGGCACACATGTTATAAAATATTTCTCAGGTCATTTTGTAACATATAACCTCGAATATGAGTAATATATTAGGAGCTCCTCCTGAAGGTGGAGAAAAGCTGATTTTGAGGAAAACATTTTTGAGAATTGGGCTCAGAAAACACACAACATTTGTGTGAACGTTGTTATTAGTACAAAAGAAACAGACATATTTGGATGTTCTAGTTAGATTCTACCTTCATTAACGATGCGAACTTTTGGAAAACAAAGTTAAACACGAGTGGACATGAACTGACTAAACACACTGTAATAAACCTAAACTATGTGGCCAAACATTTGTGAAATTTCCTTTTTTTAATTGTATGTAGTGAAAGTGGCAGATCATTTCTTGTAAACAAGTAAAATGATCTGCCAATGGAATAAGGCACTTTCACAAAATAAAATTACTTAAAACAAGTAAAAACACCTAGAAATAAGTTAAATAATCTCATAATATTCTTACAAAAGTCTCATAATGAGAAATATTAGATATATTAACTACATTTAAGATGTTTTCACTTTCTGAAATGCTATTTTTGCAACGCTTTTACCAGTTTTAGGAAAATTTACAAATTTATGCTTTTTTGAACTTTTCAAATAAATAATAAAAATCCAACTAACAAAGTTTTGTTTTTTTATGTTGTTTTCTGAGTCTCTAAACCTTCTAAAATCAATGTTTTAAGGCTGTTTTCACCAGAATTAACTGAATAACAGGGTTGAATACAGACATCATATTTCCCATTAAGCTGACATAGAAGGAGAAATTTAAAAAGTTTCTAAAATGTTCAAATTATTTTCATTAAATTATTAGTTTTAAGCCATTTTTACTTCATTTTCATTTAAAAACAACTGAAGGTTAAAAGGGTTTGGGTAACAAAGCCACACAAAAAATGTGGGACACACGTTAAAATGGCTTTTTTGTTGAATTAACAGGGAAAAATAGCTCTTTTAACATTGAATTACTTGTAAATGAACCACATAACATTGTAAATATGGTGTTAGCGAAGGATTTTAATGAGTATATTTCATAGAGATGTTCAGGTTTTAGGTCACAGCATGTCTCTCTCTCTGTCCTCAATGTCAAATGACTGCCTGACTGCAGAACTGAATCCTCTACTCTTGCCGTAATTATTAGTACCCGCCATAGAATTAGCAGTGCAGCCTCACACATGAAGAGGGCTGACCAAACAGGCAATTTAACCGTCTTATCACTCAGAATGTCCCTGTTGCACCTGTGGAGAGTAATGTTATTAAAATGGCTCTCGTAAATATCAGGGCGCTCCGCAGCAGAACTGCATTAGTCAGTGATCTTATCAGCGACGATGATCAGTGTGTAGCTGAGACACGGTTAAGCTCTAATGATGCAGCAGCCCTGACTGAAACTCACTTTGCACAGAACAGCTTTTTCTACTCTGTAAGCGAAGTGAATGAAAGGGGATGGACTAGATACTAGAACAACCTAACATAGGGCACAGTTTAACAGGGACTTGCACCAATCAGGCATAACATTATGACCTCAAAACTCAACCATGGACCCCCACAGAGCAGGTACTATTTGGGTGGTGGATCATTCTCAGCACTGCAGTAACACTGACGTGGTGGTGGTGTGTTAGTGTGTGTTGTGCTGGTCTGAGTGGATCAGACACAGCAGTGCTGCTGGAGTTTTTAAACACCTCAGTGTCACTGCTGGACTGAGAATAGTCCACCAACCAAAAACATCCAGCCAACAGCGTCCTGTGGGCAGCGTCCTGTGACCACTGATGAAGGACTAGAGGATGACCAACACAAACTGTGCAGCAGCAGATGAGCTATCGTCTCTGACTTTACATCTACAAGGTGGACTGACAAGGTAGGAGTGTCTAATAGAGTGGACAGTGAGTGGACACAGTGTTTAAAAACTCCAGCAGCACCAGCGCAACACACACTAACACACCACCACGTCAGTGTTACTGCAGTGCTGAGAATGATCCACCACCCAAATAGTACCTGCTCTGTGAGGGTCCATGGGGGTCCTGACCACTGAAGAACAGGGTAAAAGGGGGCTAACAAAGTATCAGAGAAACAGATGGACTACAGTCTGTAACTGTAGAACTACAAAGTGCACCTATATAGTAAGTGGAGCTGATAAAATGGACAATGAGCGTAGAAACAAGGAGGTGGTCATAATGTTATGCCTGATCGGTGTATGTTGTTATAGATGGTCAAGCAGCATGAGCTTCTGGCCACATCACCACATATCCTAGCCGCGACCTCGCCCCTGATTGGTCAGTGTTTTTAAGAGATCTGAGCCAAATAATGTTTTCAGGGCACGCAAGTCATTTTTTTCAGTTACTGAGCTGTTTGTGTGAATCACAAAATCCAGCCTCACTTTAATCAGCATCTTGTTTCCTACAGTGCAGCACCGTTTAGAAGCAGCTGACAAGCTCACAGCAAGTGCAGCTGGGCTTCAGTCCAGCCTCCGCACTGCGGGGTTAGTTCTTATACAGCGTTCCAGCTCAGACACCTTCAGTACACAAAGACTGATCAAGTAAATTCAGTTTTTTTGTTCCAGTTTACACAGATTTTAAACTGAAACAGAGAAACTTCTGAAAACAGAGATTTTCTGCCTGATTAGAGTCTTTCAGGCGTCAGTATTTTGGTTTTAAATAAGTATTGTTACGTCCAAGTCGACTCCGCTGCTGCCCTCTACTGGTCTTTTGTGTTGTCTTTCTTTCTCTGTTTCCTGGGTGGAGCTGTTTGGATCAGCTGATCTGGTGGGACTGATGTCAGCTGACTACCAAGCGTGCTGCGATTGGTGGCTGAATGAAGATTCGCCCTTGAAAAAGTGACAGCCATGAGATGCAGTGGGCCTGCGGTGTTTTCATCATGTGGTCCATGGCGGTCTAAAGGGAAGCGGTGTCTTTTTTTGTGCTGCTCTCTTGATGTTGTTCACCTGGTTGTTTTAGAACTGTAGACCAGTTAGACTTGTAAACTGGATTTTTGTACTGGTGATTGAGATTCAGTGTTTAGCTTTTTAATACTTGTACCATATTTTGCCTATTCCTTATTACCATACCTCAGAGGTCACAACTATGTAGGGGTGGGTGCCATTTATTTTGATATATATTATTTTTCTCCTGTTTACCTGTTGAGGGAGGTGGATTAGGGAAGGTAGATTCATGGTGGCTTTAGAGGTTTTGTTTGTTATTTTGGCGTCAGCCCACCCTGAAGTCAACACCTTTGTGACTGTTTGCCTTTATAAATAATACAACCTGTTCACTTGAGTATTAAATCAGTGCACTGGTCTATATGTTTTTATGTTGCGACCCCCTTTTTCCCTAGACTAGACTAAATCCTGTGTGGACGGTAGAAGGGGGTCGTAACAGTATATTAATGAAATTGACATCATCAGATGATAAAACTGTAGTTATTCAGAAGCAATGTTCATATTTTACTGATGTGGATGTTTTTATTTGCTGTCCTAAATAAATCTGTCACTGTTTGACACACAGTCTCAGTCAGTGTTCATATATAATCTGATGTGTGTGTATCAGTTGGTCTGTCTGTCTGTCTTATAGATGATAATATATAATGCAGTTTGGTTGGAAAATATATTTGTTTCATATAACATAGAATTATATTGAAATGGCTCTGTTTGCACTGATTGATCAGACTTTTCTAACAGGTGTTAAACTGGGGCGGCATGGTGGTGCAGTGGGTAGCACTGTCGCCTCACAGCAAGAATGGCCTGGGTTCGATTCCCGGCCGGGCGACCAGGGTCGTTTCTGTGTGGAGTTTGCCTGTTCTCTCCGTGTCTGTGTGGGTTTCCTCTGGGTTCTCCGGTTTCCTCCCACAGTCCAAAAACATGCAGTCAGGCTGATTGGACGTGCTAAAATTGCCCCTAGGTGTGAGTGTGTGTGTGATTGTATATGTATATCTGTCTGCCCTGCGATGGACTCCTGCCTTCCACCCAATGACAGCTGGGATAGGCTCCAGCACCCCACCGTGACCCAGAAGGATAAGCGGTTTAGATGATGTGTGTGTGTGTGTGTGTTAAACTGACCCTCTGTCTGTTATATGTATACTTTCATTTTTCACTGATTTTGAAAAGGTAATGGGACATAAATTGCCTGGGACAAAGGGACTGACTTTGATTTTGGGAGTCACTGGGAAAAAAGGGTACCTTGTCATCGTAGTCAGCGCTGGCTCCCCACAACACAGCACCGGATGCACCCACGGCTGCACTCTCCCCTAAGGTGCTGACCAGATCTCCCTGCAGACCAGCACAACAGTAGCACGTGTGTAAGAACAGACAGTATGACTTCACCGAAGCAAAAACCACAGCTCAAGATACTAACACTGTGTAACCACAGAGCAATAAACCACACAAGTATGTAATGTATTGAAAGTATATCACAATATATTTTATTGTAATTGTATTGTGATGTTCAGGGATGCATCGATACCTATACTGGTATCAGGTATTGGGCTGATACTGTGTTCATTTACTTATACTCAGAATTAAAATTCACAGATTTAAACATCAGATACCACCTGCTACCGTGTGATGTAAGCTGAGTATACACTCCTGGGCAAAAAAATGGGCCCAGCCAAAATTTAATGTTTTTTCCTGATGATTCTGGCTGGTCAGAGTCCAGATTTAAACCTCTATAGAGAATATTTGGTCTCACATTAAACACAAACTAGCTCAGCGATGTTTTTCAGCTGTTTGAAGCCATCGATGCCGAGTGGATCAATACTCTTAAACACACACAATCACAACTGCTTCCCCATTATGGATGGAGACACATAGGCTAGCAAAACAGAGGAGAAAAAGTCCTTATATGCTGATTTTGCTCTGTTTGACTGAATAGAATTGCAAAGTATAAACGATAATACAGTGATTTTTAATCCCTTAAATGGCCAGAGCCCACCAACAGGCTCAAAGTTTTATTACACACTTCTATAACCTAAGAATAGCTCAGCCAGTTTGCATTGAAGTCCCTGTAGTTACTGAATAATAAGCCTTAGTATGTAATAAGCCTGATTTTAAGGGGCTAATTATGTAATTGTTACTGAATATTGCACTCATTTACATTAACAACTACTTCATCCTAAGTAGGTCATTTGTAATGGTATTATACTCGGTATCAGTAAGTATAAAAATATGCATTCATACTTGGTACTGAGACATTCTTAGTAATGCCCCATATTCAGTATGTGCCATGTTTCTGGCTCTTTCTGACCCCAGCAAAGGCGTGTATGCCTGTAAAACACTAGTTTACAACCTGGTCATTGGGAACCAGCCAGGTGATCCACGTTTTTGCTGTATCACAGCTCTCAGTACCAGGTAATCAGTTCTTGATTGCTGGGCTGTGTTCAAAACAGCATTCTGTGTACTGTTTACTGTATTTACACCAGCGCTGAGTCATTTCATTTGCTGTTTAACATAAAGCTGACATGTTAGAAGTTTGCCAAACCACTCACTGAGCAAACTCACCTCAAAGGAAAACTAATGGGGCTTCAGTGTTTGGCACATATACACTCACTGAGCACTTTATTAGGAACACCTTGTATCTACACTCACTGTCCATTTTATCAGCTCCACTGACCATATAGTTTCACTTTGTAGTTCTACAGTTACAGACTGTAGTCCATCTGTTTCTCTGATACTTTGTTAGCCCCCTTTTACCCTGTTCTTCAGTGGTCAGGACCCCCATGGACCCTCACAGAGCAGGTACTATTTGGGTGGTGGGTCATTCTCAGCACTGCAGTAACACTGACGTGATGTGTTATTGTGTGTTACACTGGTCTGAGTGGATCAGACACAGCAGTGCTGCTGGAGTTTTTAAACACCTCAGTGTCGCTGCTGGACTGAGAACCAAAAACAGGAGGATGACCAACACAAACTGTGCAGCAGCAGATGAGCTGTCGTCTCTGACTTTACATCTACAAGGTGGACTGACAAGGTAGGAGTGTCTAATAGAGTGGACAGTGAGTGGACACAGTGTTTAAAAACTCCAGCAGCACTGCTTTGTGTGATCCACTCGTACCAGCGCAACACACACTAACACACCACCACCACATCAGTGTCACTGCAGTGCGGTGGGGGTCCTATGGGGGTCCTGACCACTGAAGAACAAGGTAACAAAGTATGCAGAGAAACAGATGGACTACAGTCTGTAACTGTAGAGCTATATATATATATATATATATATATATATATATATATATATATATATATATATATATGCAATTCCATTATGGGATGCATTATGGGATAGTACATCATCTAGGTGTCTCTGGCATGCATGAGAAATTCATGTCAATTACATGCATACTCTGCATACTACACTGTCAGAAACAAAGGTACTGCACAGGTAAATCAAGGTTCAAACAATGTAAATACACCCTCAAAGGTACAACAGTGGTTTTCAGGTCCAGCTGTGCACCTTATAGAGGAAAGATGCATATTTGTACCTTTTCATAATCTATTGTTTCAAAACAGAACAGTGAAATGAAAAGTGTGGAGTCAGTACAACTTAAAAATGTAATCACAGTGGATTATGGTACAACTGTGTTCCCTAATTAAAGACACTGAGATGTACCCTTGAGGGTACCACCCAAGTGACAAGACGGGTACTGCCCCAGTGACAGTCTAGTATCTTTATCAGTATGTGGGTAGTATGTAGGCTATTTCAAACAAAGGCCTTGGAATAGAGAAAAACAGTGGACCATCTGGACTGAGTCGGTTTACTAACTCAGAAGAACAGTTTTTAAAACTGACCTGGCTCAGCAGCCGTTTGTTCTGGTCCGTGAAGACGGGCCGAGTATAGACATACACCGGAGCTGTGTACGTCCGTTTGGGCAAGGCTGCCACTCGCAGGGCCTCTTGTACACGATTTCGCACCATCAGCGCAGCAGAGCGGTGGTCTCCAAGTGACTCCTGCAGGTAGATAGAGGGGAACAGCGCCGTGCTCACCTCCCACAACCACAAAAGCATCTCGTTCTGCTTCTGCACCTCCTTCGAGCAGTGTCCCGTGTAGCCCGGCTGCTCCCAGCCATAGTTGTAGCAGTTGGGGAAGAGGTAAAAGCCCCAGAGGTAGCGCGGTCGCAACCGGGTGCCCAGGGTCAAAGTCTCTAGCATGTAGCTCTTGGCGGCAGACTGAAAGCGGCGCTTGGCCAGAGCGACCGCCTGCCGTAAGGTCAGGGACGGGAACTTGTGGCGGGCATAGCTGATGGACAGGGCACGGTAGATTCTCTTGGAACCCCAGTTCCTCTCCCACAGGGGCCGCCAGTCCTCCCAGTCGATGACAGCCAGGCCAGGGGAGCTCTTGGAGGGGATGTAGTGGATGATATCTGCCCTGGCTTTCTCCAGGCTGGCCTGCAGGTTGCCTCTCTGGGGGATGCCACCATTGAACTGTCTCCTGGATTCCAGGTCCACGTAAGGGTACAAGCCCAAGCGATCAGCGTAGAACAAGACGAGGAACTGATCCGGGACTTTGGCCGGGTTACTCACACTGTGGAATGAAGAAGTGTCCAGAGAGATGTTGTACCTGTTACAGACAAGGTCAGGGATGTTCCAGATCACCATGAAGGGCTGCCCATCAAAGAGGGGAGGGGCAGTGCGGGGCAGGGATTGGCTGGTGGGGATTGAGCTGAGAGTGAAAACGCCAGTAAGGGACAGTGACAGGACGGGCAGCACAAACACAGAGTCCTTGCTCATCAAGCCAGACAAGCCCATTCTTTCGCCTGTTGGAGGCAAATTGGTCAGTTTTCCATCTCAGAGGTGCACAAAACTGCTCTGAATGTAATTCTATAACAAATATGTTACTATTTTGACTTGTAGATGACCAATGAGAGACACTATGCTGGGCAATGACAGGTTTGCAGATATAACCAATTTGGTTAGGGTTAGTAACCTAACCCTAACCAATTTAATTCACTTCATTGAAATGGTAAAGACTTCAGAAAACCATAACCCTTCATAAGTGTCCACTTCAGTTTGTAACAAGGTTCTCCTCTGGGAACAACAACATAACCTCAGGCCAAATTACCAAATTACCTAATCATTGATTTCCGAAGTGAAAAAGAAGCAAAAACAACCTCTGCAACAAACGATTTTAAAACATAACACTTTTTCTGGAAAATTAATGCAAAGTTGGTTTATATTTGATTAACTTAAAAAATAAATAAATAAAACTATAATAGTGCATATCCTGAAGAAAATGCAGAGTGATTGCGCAGCTTAAGTGAATTGAGAATGGTTGCTAGGCAGTTGATAGGTAGCTGCTGTGGAATTCCAGGTGGTTGATGAGGTGTTGCTAGGTGGTTGCCATGGTATCACAGGTGGTTGCTAAGGTGTTGCTAGGTGATTGCTATGGTGACAGGTGGGTGATATGTTGTTGCTAGGCATTTGGCATGGTATCCCAGGTGGGTGCTATGCGGTTGCTATGGTATCCCAGATGGTTGCTAAGGTGTTGCTAGGTGGTTGTTACAGTATCCCAGGTGGTTGCTAAGGTGTTGCTTGGCAGTCGCTATGGTATCCAAGGACATTGCTAAGCTGTTGCTAGGTGGTTGCTATGGTATCCCAGGTGGTTGCTAGGTGGTTGCTATGGTTTCACAGATTGTTGCTGAGGTGTTGCTGGGTTGTTATGGTGTAACAGATGGTTGCTAAGATGTTGCTGGGCAGTTGCTATGGTATCCCATGCAGTTGCTAAATTGTTGCTGGGCAGTTGCCATGGTGTATGGGGTGTTTATTTAGTGTTAGCTATGTGTTGTTAAAAATGAATGGGAGTCTATGTGAAAAAAATGACACGTAGAGGAGTGCGGGTCATTATGGCTGTGGATTAGAGCTTGGGGACCTGCCCTGAGTGAGAACATGTGTTTTAGTAGCTGTCAGTCAAAAAAAAGTATATGTCTTGTTTGTGGGTGAAAATGAATGAGACTCTATGGGAGGAGCGAGGGATGAAAAACCAACACACAGAAGAGTGCAGGTCAGTATGGCTGTGAATTAGAGCTTGGGGACCTGCCCTGAGAGAGTACATGCATTTTGGTGGCTGCCGGGCAAAGAAATAACAGGGCTGGGTTTGGGCGAAAATGAATGGGACACTAAGGGAAGGAATGAGGGAAGGAAAAAATGACACATAGAGGAGTGCAGGTCAGTATGGCTGTGCAGCAGAGTTTGAAGCCCTACCCTTAGTGAGTACATGTAGTTTGGTGGCTGTAGGGCAACAAAATAATAGAGTTTTTGTGGTTGCGAAAATGAATAGGACTCTAGGGAAGAAATCGAGGGATGGAAAAAAATGACAAACTAATGTGTCAGAACAACATTGAATTCCTGCTCGAAGGCCTGCCCTGAGATAGTGTATGCGAAATGGTATCTTTCGGTCAAGCAGAATTTGGTATCTTTGGTAGATATCACAGCCGTTCTAGTCGTGATTTAGGAATTTTCACCCACTCTTCCTTACAGAACGCTTCCATTTCGGCGATATTCTTGGGAAGTCTTGCATGTACAGCGTATTTATGATCTTTCCAAAGATTTTCAGTGATGTTTGTCAGGTGACCAAGAGGGTTGTTCCAAAATCTTCATCTTGCATTTCTTGAAGTAGTTGATGGTGGATTTTGAGGTATGTTTTGGATCATTGTCCTGTTGTAGAAACCAGCTTATCTTCAGATTCAGTTTCTTGGCTGACCAGAATTTGCTGATAGTGTTGGGCAAAATACTTTCAGAAAGTAGTGATGGCTGAATACTGAGTACACTGTCCTAAATGTATTCAGTAACATATTCCATCACAATATATAAAAAGTAACATATTCAGAATATATTTAGAATACATTTTGATAAAGGACATGTGAAAAACCTTTTTATTTATTTCACACTGTTCTTCGCTGTTACTGGTTGGCAGTTTTCTTCCTGCAATTCTTCAAAATGTTAATAGGTTTCATAAAAAATTCACATAATGATTTAAGTCAAATTCAGAAATTCTCAACATTTTTCTTTTTGTCTCACCACCTGCTTCAGTCCAATTCCGGTCCCATAATCCCCCTAGTAGAAGTTTAATCATTCCTCAAAATAACTCTGTAATGCTGAGATAATTAACTGGATCATCACATTGATTTATCAGTCTACTCAGGCTTTAGCAGAGCTCAGTAACACTGAGATTAATAACCGATCACATTGATTTATCAGTCTACTCAGGCTTTAGCAGAGCTCAGTAACACTGAGATTAATAACTGATCACATTGATTTATCAGTCTACTCAGGCTTTAGCAGAGCTCAGTAACACTGAGATTAATAACTGATCACATTGATTTATCAGTCTACTCAGGCTTTAGCAGAGCTCAGTAACACTGAGATTAATAACCGATCACATTGATTTATCAGTCCACTCAGGCTTTAGCAGAGCTCAGTAACACTGAGATTAATAACTGATCACATTCATTTATCGGTCTACTCAGGCTTTAGCAGAGCCCAGTAACACTGAGATTAATAACTGATCACATTGATTTATCAGTCTACTCAGGCTTTAGCAGAGCTCAGTAACACTGAGATTAATAACCGATCACATTGATTTATCAGTCTACTCAGGCTTTAGCAGAGCTCAGTAACGCTGAGATTAATAACTGATCACATTGATTTATCAGTCTACTCAGGCTTTAGCAGAGCTCAGTAACACTGAGATTAATAACTGATCACATTGATTTATCAGTCTACTCAGGCTTTAGCAGAGCTCAGTAACACTGAGATTAATAACTGATCACATTGATTTATCAGTCTACTCAGGCTTTAGCAGAGCTCAGTAACACTGAGATTAATAACTGATCACATTGATTTATCAGTCTACTCAGGCTTTAGCAGAGCTCAGTAACACTGAGATTAATAACTGATCACATTGATTTATCAGTCGGAATAGTAGGAATTCAGGATTTGTAAAGATGCATTTAAATAAATCTGTTAAACAAGCATTGTTTATTAGATCTGTTTCTTTTACAGAGGGTAAATATTTGTTAAATTTAGTGGGAAAGTATTCTAAAAGTATTCTCCTACAAATGGAAAAAGTCACAGTACTCTGAATACTGCCTTTAAAAAAGGTCATTTGGACCGAATACAGATACTTCTGTATTCTAAATACATATTCCTAACACTTGTATTCCATTACATCCCTACAGTTAACACGGTGTTCCTTTCATCAGATGCTGCTCCTTTGTTTCTCTAAATATTCCTTTGATGATTGTGGCCAAACTTTCCATTCTTTACTTCATCAGTCCACAGCACTTGTTTCCAAAAAGCCTCTAGCTTCTCTTGAAATTGATTTCCACACAGTTCCGCTAAACTGCCGTTTTATTTACATTTCAGACCGTTTGGAGCACTTTGATGTCTTTTTATAGTCGTCTCCTGCTTTGTAGACATCAGTTAGTTTCATTTTCAGACTTTCACTCAGCTGCTTAGAGGAGCCCATGATTGTTGAGTGTTTGTACACGGTTTGAAGAGTCTGGAACTTTCATCAGCTGAACGATTCCTAATGACAGTTCTTAACCTGCCCAACCAGCCCTAACGAGTCCATTAAGGCCTAACGAGTTAATCAGGTTAATAGAAATTACAAGTATCCAAACTTTTGCACAAGCCACAGTTCTGTTTTCTAAGGTAATCAAATATGAAGTAACTGCGCATTAACGTTTACATTTGCAGAACGTTAAAATATAAAAATATAGCTGCCAAATGTGCTTACTTCTTTTCACAAACAACAAAAAAAATATTTAACATCAACTGTATCTATCTACACTGCAAAAAATAGCATCTTGTCAAGTGAAATTATCTTGATTCTAGTCGATATATAATATTTCTTATTTTAAGATGGTTGTGTGCTTATTATAAGATTATCTAACTCATTTCTAAATATTTTTATCTGCTTTAAGTAATTTTATTAAATAAAATGATCTCACTCCACTGGCAGATAATTTGTCTGGTTTAAGCTCATTTCTTACAACAAGCAAAATTATCTGCCAGTACAGTGAGAAAATTTACTTAATAAACTTACTTAAAACAGGTAAAAATGTTTGGAAATAAGTTAAATAATCTTAAAATAAGCTTACAGCAATGTTAGATGTCTCGACTAGATTTAAGATAATTTTATTTGATAAGTTACCATATTTTGCGGTGTGTTTTTTTATTATTATTGCCAAGCCTGCAAAGCTATTTTCACTGACAACAAAGTGACAGAAAAAGTGACAGTACCTGGACATCACTTCACACCACTGTCCAGCTCTGCAGCCCTGGAAAGGAAAATTCTGTGGAGATGAGAACAAAGTGAGTGAAAGGAACCCGGTGAAAACAAGCCTGTTCCTCCGAGGTGGAAGAAATGAGAGAGAGAGGGAGAGAGAGAGAGAGAGAGAGAGAGAGAGAGAGATAGAGAGAGGGAGAGAGAGAGAGGGGGAGGAGGGAGGGAGGGCGAGAGCGAGACTGACTTAGAGATGAGTAGATACAGTGAGAGCTGTTGGCCTGCATACTCCAGCTATGTATTTGTCTATGTCATGTCAGGGTCATCGTGTGCCAGGTTTGTTTTGGAGAAAGGCAGGAAGGCACACCAGGGTGTTATGTCATGGAGCATGCACTGGTCTAACCTCAAGGCTAGACTGTTTGTGGGGGGGTGAGAGTGACAATGCCAGTCATCTGCACATCCTTGCTATTCGAACATTAACACAGGAACAACATTTCTGCAAGACGCAGGGCTGGAATATAAC